ATTTTTTTTATCTTTAATAAAAAACTTTTATATTAAGAAAAATAAAAATGCATACGCCTCCGCTTCGACAAGACCCCCCTAACTCAAAAAAATAAATTAGGTTACAACGAAAAGGGGGACGGGGGGGTCTGGGGGCGAACGAAGGGGTAGGGGGCAAACCACTTTCTTTCCCCTTATATTTTCTAATAGTGGCTGAAAATGTAAAAAAAAAAATTGAAAAAACATATTTAGTTTCACTCTTTTTTTCACAACCTTGAAAAACTTGTTGAATCTTGCAAATTTATAGATGTTTTGACAATTTTTATAAGATTTGAGTCTTTAAAAAGGCTAAAAAGCTTTTTGAAGGATTTGGGAAAGAAAGAGGGCTTATGAAATGGGTTTAGAAACCCTCTTTCGAGTGGAGTTTTATTTGTGTTTCCGCCACAGTAAAATCGTATTGTATCGGTCGATACAGTGCTGAAACGCACTGATACTCAACGATACGGGTACAATACGGGCACAATACGGCCTCGATACGATGAATAGATATGGCATATTCAATTTGGTACTATGTACCGTRCCGAAAATTTGCTAGAACGATACGTATCGGCCGATAAAAACCGATACGTAACGGAATTTTGAACCTGTATGAGATAGACCTACTACTACTACTATTGTTGTTGCTACTTGGTAGGTACTAGAGTCTGGCTAGAGTGAGTAAACATCAATTGTAATCCTTTTCGTAGAAAGAAAACAAATGAGCGAGAGCTTATGCTTTCTAGTTTTGCTCGCCACCCATGAAATAATAATGAAATGAAGGCTCTTTTTGGTAGTTCAAAAAAAAAAAAATCGAAACTGGAGAAGAACTCTGTTCGAAAATCGACAACTTCTTAGTTCTTCCGTTCAAAAACGACTGTCTTCTTCCCCGTGTTTCTCCATTCGCCATCCAGTAGATTGTTCCCCACCGTCTTCTTCCCCATGCTCAAAGAAAGAAGAAGAACTCTGTTCGAAAAYCGATGACTTTTCAGTTCTTCCGTTCGAAAACAATGACTATCTTCTTCCCCGTGCTCCTCCATTCGTCGTCCAGTAGATTGTTCCCCACCGTCATAAAATTATTACCGCTATACCCCTGAATACAACAACAGGAGAAGAACTCTGTTCGAAAATCGACGCCTTCTTTATTCCTCCGTTTGAAAACGACAATAGTCTTGTTCCCTATGCTCCTCCATTAGCCGTCCGGTAGATTGCTCCCTGCCGTCTTCTTCCCCGTGCTCAAAAAAAGGAGAAACGAACTTTGTTCGAAGCTCCCGACCATCTTCTTCCCCGTGGTCCTTCATTCGTCGTCCGGTAGACGACTTCTCTTGCTCCCGACCATCTTTGTTTGTCAGAGGCCCCCTGTACTAGCCGTCCGAGGCAGCCGTTGTTCACCTTCAAAAGTTAGGTTTTCCGGTCATCGTGCACCCCCATCTGCCGGAGCGGCTTCCGGGTGTCGTTAAACGGTGAAGACGTTAACGTCTTTCTTATACTGAAATGAATTTCTTTTTTAAAATATGATTTAAATGGTTGTTTTTAAAACCGGTTATGTATGATAATCCATATTCACCAAAATAGAGAAGGCGAATGTTGATTTTTCCATCTCATCCGATACAATATAGAAAAGATACTTTTTCCATATCATAGATTTTCCCTTACCTTGGCTGTTTTGAAGCCTCCTACACAAGACACGTTACTGCAGTTGGTTCTTTATGTCTTTATAATTAAAAGAATATTGATTATAATTACTCTTTTACCCCACACCCATGCCAATGTGTCTTGCACACAAAGCTTCAAAACAGCTTTCCAAACAGCCAARCTTTTTCCTAAATCTATGTAAATATGTGTACTAATAAGTGGTGCAGGACAAATATTACTCCTAAAAGACAGTAAAAGACATCTAAAGCTGTCTTCTTACAGGAGACTTGTGAGATACTTTGAGAGAGAGAGAGTGTGTTTAATAGATTTGATCTATTTTCTTCTAGACATTTCYTCGTATCTAATATATATTAAAGTAATGATTTTAGGCCAAAGCCTCCTATAGTCAGACATGTGGCTCATTTATATTCAGACATCTGTCATTCCAAAGATTTAAATAAAATGGACATGTGTCAAATTCTGATTAATGGTAGTTCAAGAAYAGAGCCCACTAGACATGTGCCAATTTCTGATTAGTGGTAGTTCAAGAAAAGAGCCCACTAACATGGAGAGTGGAGCCTACCACCATGCAAAGTTGTGAAAAGTGGGAAGCTCCCACTTTCAATCATTTCCTAAAAAAAAAGGAAATTGTGTTATTAATTAATGTTATCTACTAAGCTAATTAATTAATTACAGTTATTGATTACTAATAATAATTACTGTTAACTACTTCTAATTAATTAATTATAACTATTAATTACTGTTAACTCCTAATTAATTAATTCCAGCTATTAATTACTAATAATAATTACTCACTGATAAAAATTAATTAATTACTAAAAATTATTTATTATAATAATTACTACTAATACTTAATTACTGATAATTTATTACTCACAATATTGCTCATTATTAATTCGAAATGATAATTAATAAATATTTTCATAATGGTAATTAATAATTCAAAAAGAATCATTTTATATTTATATTAACTCATATTAATTATTTTGAAAATAAATATTTAATGTTAATTATTTATATTATAATTATTATTAGAAAATATAATTCATACATTTATATGAAATATTTAATTATATTATTATTATTATTATCAATAATTATAATTAATTACTACTAATACTAATGATGATAATTATTACTAGAATGTTAATTAATTAATGATAATTAAGAAGTATTTTAATAATGTTAATTATTATTGGGATATAATCATTTTATATTAATATTAATTCATATTAATTATTTTATAAGTATATAATTAGTGTTACTTATTTACATTATTATTGTTACAAGTAATTATAATTATTACTATTATTATAATTAATTCTATTATTATTCTCCAATAAATACTTCATTTAGTGAAAGTTAAATTATAAAACTTTCTATTATTCAATATTGTTAAACTTAAAGAATCATAAAAGCAAATATTATTTTATAAATTAACTAAATTGTATTTATAACAAATTAATTACTTAATAAAAATAAAAAATAAAATAATAGTAATAATAATAATACTTTAATATTACTGATTTCAAAATCAATACACACATAATAAGAATATATTATTAGTTAATAATAATAATAATAATATACTTATTATTATTACTGATTTCATAATTATTAATATATTATTAATCTATTAATAATACTGATTATTATCAAAAAAATGTTAATAGAAAAATTTAATTACTTAAAATTATTTGCTGAAATTACCCATTTTAATTTGAATAGATAATTAATTTATAACTTTAATTTCTTAAAATTATTATTTACTGAATAATTTTAAATACTCTTTGATTAACGACCTTATTTTTGAATAATTGGTTTTCTATGTTCAATAACTTTTTTTTTTTGCAAAAATCCAAATAATTTTTCATTTGCAATTCTAACCATTTTATTTTTCTCTTATTCAGCTTTTCAAAAGATAAAAGAATAAATTAATGATTTTTACTTATTTTTATGTATTTATCAAGTTGTTGTCATTGATGATGATGATGATGATGATGATGATGAGTCAACTTTTTGAAAGAAAGGAGTACTAATAATAATTAATGAGTTCTAATTAATTAATTTCAGCTATTAATTACTAATAATAATAACTCACTGATAATAATTACTGATAATATTTCTCATTATTAATTCAGAATGATAATTAATAACGACTTTCATAATGGTAATTAATAATTTGAAAAGAATCATTTTATATTTATATTAACTCCTATTAATTATTTTTAAAATAAATATTTAATGTTAATTGTTTATATTAGAATTATTATCAGTAATTATAATTAATATTTATGTTAATTAATATAATTATATATTTATATTATTATTATTATCAATAATTATAATTAATTATTACTAATAATAATGATTTATAATTAAATTTAATTACTGACTATAATTACTTAATGATAATTAATTCCTTAATTATAACAATGATAATTATTACTTCAGAGTATTAATTAATTAACRATAATTAATAAGTATTTTAATAATGTTAATTATTAATCATGATAAACTCATTTTATATTTATATTAATTATTTTATAAATATATAAATAGTGTTACTTATTTACATTATTATTATTATAAGTAGTTATAATTATTACTATTATTATTCTCCAATAGATATTTCATTTGGTTAAAGTTAAACTATAAATTTTCAATTATCCATTATTTTAGGAATTAACTAAAAATCACAATTATTTCATAATAATAATTTAATATTACTGATTTCAAAATCAATACACACATCATAAGAATATATTATTAGTAAATAATAGTAATAATAATGTACTTATTATTATTACTAATTTCATAATTATTAATATATTATTTATCTATATTACTTAATAAAGACATGGAATAAAAAATATTCAAATTGCTACTAAATGAATGAACAAAAAATCTATGAGTATTCTAATTGACTTTAATTTGACACATCAATATGCCCAAAATTATAATTTCAACCTGCATTTCCTATTTTTTCCCATAATTCAAACATACCATTATGTTATGTACATGTTTCCCTACCTTTTTCCTAAAGATAAATTCTAGTCAGTCTACGTGCACTGTGGGGAGCTTAGACTTAAAATCCGTAACCATGATTGACCAAAATAATCATTACCACCTAACTTGGAGGTGACTTCCATACTTAGGATGGCCCTATTATTCTCCTTTCTCTCATGTTTTCTCTGTTGGATGGGCTTTGGAGTCCTGATTAAATTATCAGTTGATTGTAGTCATACATGATGATTTGATTGTAGTTTTATATTTTTCATCTCTTAATTCAGAGGATGGATGCATCTGCAAATATTGTTTGGCATGGATTGTTTTTCTTAGCAGCTCTTTGAATGATTTTCTTCCTTCATTGCCTCTTTGAATGGATATCATTTAAATGTTTTTTATCCATTCATTTGTCCCTAAATATTAAGCAGTATTGGTGATATTGTTGTAAACATCAATCTAATTTTACTATTTTATAAATAGATTAATGATTTCAAAGTTATTGATACTCTTTTTGGGGGTGGGTTACTCAACAAGACATTGATTTTTGATTGTTAAATAGTAAATTTCAAATTAAATGATACTGTAGTTGCCCCTTACTTAGTATGGGGTCATTGTCTAGATAAAACATGGTAAGGTAAGTCTCTTAAATCAAATAAACAGACTACCCTAAATGTCTATTATAAATAATTAAAAAATCAAATAATTAATTGCTGAAAATTACTGAGTTAAGTAAATAATAATAACAATCAATTATTTATAGAAATAATTAATAACAATAATCATCAAGTACTTAATTAAGTAAATAATAAAAAACGAAATAACAATCATCAATTATCATTAATGTTTATTCAAAGCATGCCCCATAATAATTACCAAATACAGTAATTAAACCTTAAATAAGAATCAATATTTATTAACAGTCATTAAAATTGTTAAGCCAAATCATTAATRTTTATTCTTAAATGCAAAATATGAATTAACAAATCTATTATATAATAATTATAGTTGGTTGGAAAAAATATTTTAAGTAAATATTTAAATAATTACAATTTTAGTTAATATTATTACTATATAACAAAAAACTTAAATTAAATACTAAAATAAATTAATAATAATAATAATAAGAATGGTTAAATTAAAGTAGTAAATGGTTCAAGTTGAATTTAGTGACCCGTATAATTTTACGGGTTTGACATATAAGGGTCAATTTATGTGGACCCGTAGACTATACGAGTGTTTTAAAAAATGGCAGTTTATAAATAATAATAAAAATGGTAATAAAAATCGTTAATGTTTATTCATATATATATATATATATATAATTATAATTAACTTCACCGTACTTAATACGGAGTCATTCACTAGTTTTGTTAGAACTTAAAAGATYAAATATAGTTCATCAATCATTGTAAATATTGTTTGCTTTTCAAGCTATCAAACAAAGCATGTTATTGAAACCAGGAATTCAAGTTCTGGGGAGCAAGAAATAAGTTACATAACAAGTAACACTTCTTTTTGCTAGGATCAATGTTTTTTCAAACCATGTGTAGAACCTTTGTTTTTTTGGAACTCGCAGTCACAAGGGAGACTATCCATGTTGGAGAACGCCCCTCAGCGGGCATTTGGTAAATTGGAACAATTCCTCAAAATCATTTACCATGGAACCAGCATTCTTAAGGCGTTGTTTTTCTAAAAATATTGTCATGGTGTTTATGCATGTTGACGTCAGTATCAAAAATAACGTTGAGATTGACAATCCCCTTTAAACATGAAAATTGAGAGTGTTTTGGCGAATCAACTGAGGTGGGCAAAAAGTTTTCCCAACARCCCAACCTCACAAATATTTATTTGTTTGTACAGCTGAAAATAATGATAGGTGGGGAATCTGATATAATAAAGGGCCCGTGGTATCATATCATTGTTGAAGGAGGTTTTGAAAAATAAAATTAGAAAACAAATAAATATTTGTGAAATGGGATAAAATAAAGATTTATAAAAAAATTGTATTGTTTTTTAATAAGATTTTGCCAATTCCTACATTACCTGTTCGTTATGTGGGATATCAAACGAGCCTAAAACCTTGTATTTTGTATTTGTACTCCTTTCCAAACTAAATCTAAAGGATAAATACATTGATAATTATAATTATAATTACAGTATTATAATGTTATAATAGTATTTTCATCGGCCAATGAGAAATATCAGCCAAGTTAAATACTTTATAGTATTATTTTATGTCCTCATATATTGTCCTTTTATATCCGAAATTCCATCCTTTGTTTTTAACCATGTCCAAACTAAGCTTATTAGTGGGTCTTAGCCCCTGTTTGGGAATACTTATTTTAAGCACTTATCGAAAAAAGTGTTTATTTTAATTCAGAAACACACTAATAAGTACGCTTGTATGCATTTTTTTTTTCTTCAGAAAATAAGTCCATTGTGAATAAGTTAAAAACTTTGTTCGAGAAAGCGTGTATTCCATTTTTGGCTTGTCTTTGGTCCGCCAAGTAATTTTCAAAATGCAATACTACCCAGAAGCGCTCTTTTATCAAATACTCACACTAATAAGTAATAAGCACTTGTGAGTGCTTGATAAAAAAGCGCTTATGGGTAGAAATAAGCACTTGTTTATCCAATGAGCAATCAACAGTTTGGTTGGACCTGGGCCGCTCACGGATGACTAAACGATGTAGCCCATGCCCAGGCTCATTGTCGCTGTTGTGCAGCTGATAAGTCCAGCCCATGTGCTATCTAGCTGAGAGTGAGAAGATGTCCAATGGAATACTGTTTAATAGTTTATCCAATGTCCGCCGATGATTCGGGATTTAGAATCATAGTCAGGATGATCTTTTGGACCCCACTGATTGCGCGGTCCAGATTGTTGAAGATCACGTTGTCTCTCTCTCTTTGTACACGGATTTTCAGTTGAAAACTCTGTCGTTTCGGCGGGGAGCTTTCAACTGATCACCCTGTTGCTCACATTGCGCTCTTCGTTCTCAACATGGCCTCAACAACCCAGCGTCTTTCTCTGTCGTCAGACTCAGATGCGGATTCCGACAACAGCACCGGGGGAGTAGACGAACTTCGGCATGATGATCTCTCCGACACCATCTTCAAATCATATTTACAAATCTCCGGTCAATCATCGCCTGATCTCTCCAAGATCCAAACGTTCCTCACCTCCTCCCGATCCGGGGCTCTGTCCTGCCTCATATGCCTCGAGAGAATCCGAACCTCTGATCCTACCTGGTCCTGCATCAATGGCTGTTTCGCTGTCTTCCACCTCCTTTGTATCCAAAGTTGGGCTCGCCAAGCTTCCGATCTCGCCACTGAACGAGCCGTCGCTCGCCTCTCCCGCGAACTCTTCCCTTTAGCTGCTGCCAAAGCCCTAGAAAATTCCAACTGGAGTTGTCCCAAATGCAGAGTAGAGTACTCGAAATCCCAAATTCCCCGAAGTTATTTCTGTTTCTGTGGCAAATTAGAGAATCCGCCCAGCGATCCTTGGATACTTCCGCATTCATGCGGTGAGATCTGCGGTCGGCCCCTCAGATACAATTGTGGCCACAATTGCTTCTTGTTATGTCACCCTGGTCCTTGTCCTTCGTGCCCGAAGCTCGTAAAAACCCGCTGCTTTTGTGGGACTGTCGAAGATGTTCGGCGATGCGGCTTCAAGAATTTTTCTTGTAACGGTGTTTGTTCGAAAGTACTGGATTGTGGGGTTCACCGGTGTTTGGAAATTTGCCATGAGGGTACTTGTCCTCCTTGTCGGGCGAGGGGTGTGTACCGTTGCCGGTGTGGGAAGACGAAGGAGGAGAGGGAGTGCTTTGAAAGAGAGTTTCGATGCGAGAATCCTTGTGAACGGATGCTTGGTTGTGGAAAGCATTTTTGTGCTGAGGGATGTCATTCGGATCCGTGTGGTGAGTGCCCTCTTCAGGGAAAAAGGATTTGTCCATGCGGGAAGAAGGTATACGAAGGAATGTCTTGTGATGTCGTGGTGCCGACTTGTGGATTGACTTGTGGTAAGATGCTGAGCTGCGGTCTTCATAGATGTCCTGAGCGGTGTCATCGCGGTCCATGCGTAGAGACTTGCAGGAATGTTACTGTGAAGTTTTGTAGGTGTGGGAGTTTGAAGAAAGAGGTATGGGTAGGCTGCTATTTCTGACTGTTACTTCATCCCATATTTAGTGAATAGTCTTAATCCTCTTTTTTTCCCCCTTCATGGGTCATAATCCTCTTGTTGCTGTTAGGAAAGATAATATGAAATTATTTTTTGTCTTACGATGCACAACTTTAGACTGAATTTGGAATAGGTTCCTTGCTATCAAGATTTGGCCTGTGAAAGGAAGTGTCAGCGAGTAAGAGATTGTGGACGACATGCTTGTAGGCGTCGCTGCTGTGATGGGGACTGCCCTCCTTGCTCAGAGGTGTATGTCACAGTGCTTGTTTAGATGTGCTTATAATATGCTTGTTTAGATGTGTGTAAGCATGTTTAACTTATATTAGTCCCCCCCCCCCAAAAAAAAAAAAATTCAGATATGCGGGAGGAAATTACGGTGCAATAACCATAAATGCCCTTCTCCATGCCACAGGTATTGTTTTTTTTTTTTTCTTTTTTTGCACATCTTTATTTATTTTTTCTATCTGTATACAGAAATTCCATTCCTTCATTATAGAAACCTAAAGTCTCTCCGAGATGTTTTTGATCTTCCATAGGAACACTTAATCAGCTTGACCTGTTGGTGATTAAAGCCTGTAGTCACAACTCAAAAGTTTCATGCACTTCAGTTATCTCAAATTAACTACCTCTTTGATCACATAATTTTGAATTAAGGTAATGATTTCCAAATATAGGACTGGAGGAGGTAGTTCAATAATTGTTTTATTGTCCGCAGTTTTTTTATTTTTTTTGAAGAAGGTAAAGTATTGTATTGCAAAGAAAAACCAGATACATCAGCCCATGTACATTGAGGACCTGTACAATGGGAATTTACAGAAGGATTTCACAGATAAAGAATGGTCCAGCTTGCAAAAAAGAAAAAAGCTGAACTCCAGTGAAAGCTCTTTGTACACTTAACCAGGAACATAAAAAACCTATAACTTTGTTTTTGACTGAAACTGTGTCATTGGAAAGGTTGTCAAAAATATGGCTGTTCCTTTCCTTCCAAAGGGCCCAAAGGATAGCAGATGGAAAGATCTTCCAAAGCAGCTTGCCTCTTACAGTCAGGCCCTCTAAGGTCCACCCCTAAAGAATCTGTATGACAGAAGCAGGAGGGCAAGAGGAGACACCAAAACAGGGAAGAGCCATATCCCAGAGCTGCTGAGAGAAGTTGCAGTGAATAAAAATGTAGCTGGAAGATTCAGGAACTTCATTGCAGAAAGGATAGTAGATATTAGGAAGCTGCATCCCCCTTCTGAGTAGCCGATCTGTGGTTAGGCACTTATCAAGTGCTGCAGTCCAAACCAAGAAAGCTACTTTTGAAGGAGCATGGGATTTCCAGATTATTGTCCAAGGGAAGTCTCCATCTTCACCGGCCATGAGGTTGTTGTAGAAAGACTTAGATGAGAAAATGCCAGAAGTCTCCCAAGCCCAAAATCTTTCACCTGCCTGCAGGTTGGGCTTGAAGAGGCTTAAAAGATTTGTTAGTGGACCTATTTCCCAATAATTAAGATTCCTTACGAAGATAGGGCTCCAAACAACTTCACCATTCCTCAAATCAAAGCAGTCTTCCATTACTGTATCTTTATCTTGTGCAATGCCAAAAAGAGAGGGGAAACTTTCTTTTAGAGCAGTGTCCCCACACCACTTATCATACCAGAATTTAAAGAGGTTGCTCTTGCCAACTTTGCATTTAATTCTCTGTAGGCTGCGTTTGGAAACAATGCAAATGGAGTGTAAATTCTGGTTCAGGGTAAATTTGCACTCTGGTTCACTTTTGCCTGTATTTGGCAACATTAGATTTATGCATTGACAAATGACAGAAAACACATTTTACAATGCATATTTACTTTGATAATAAGATGTAAAAGTACATCAATAAAAAAAAAGGTAAATTTGGATTCAAGTGGGCTTTTGATAAAAAAAGGCATATGCTTTATTGGAATTCGTGTTTGCACCCATTACAGCTAAAAGTCTGTTTGGTAAGAAGGTAAATGTGCCAGTGCAAAACTAACCCAACTTTGCAATTTATATGGACTGTTTTACACTCTACATATTTGCATTCACGCTTATTTGCATCGTTTCCAAACACAGCCTTTGGAAATCTGGGGAAATAGAGACAGCATTGCTCCACAAAGCACAACCCCTTGGGAGAAAACCAGGGTCCGACTCCCACCCTAGATTCGTGAGCCCATATTTATCTGCAATAATTCTCCTCCAGAGGCTGCTCCTCTCTTTGTTGAATCTCCAGCACCACTTACCAAGGAGAGCCTTGTTAACAGCTTTAATATTTCTGATTCCTAAACCACCAGTTCTTGATTTGCACACAGATTTCCATCTAACCAAGTTAAATCTGGGATTATTCTTCCATCCAGCCCATAAAGAGAGTCTCATTTTCTTCTCTAGAAGCTTTGCAACACTAGCAGGAATCTGAAATAAGGAAAGATAATAGATTGGGAGTGAAGATAAGACACTCTTAACTTTTTGAGAAACAAAGATAAGGCACTCTTAATTAGAGTGAGCTTACCTCCGTTTGAGAGATACTTAGATTTCCACATTGCCAATTTCCTGTCAAATCTGTCAATAACTGGGTCCCAGATCTTCTTAGAGCTGCATTTGGCTCCCAAGGGGAGACCAAGGTATGTGGTAGGCAGCTTTCCAGATGTACAGCCCAAGATTCTAGCCATTTTGGGATCAGGGAGTCCTTCATCTGTCTTCAACAGTTCACTTTTAGACAAGTTAATTTTGAGACCTGAGACTGCTTCAAACCATCTGAGAATATAACCCAAATAGGCCAACTGATCAGAAGAGTAGTCACAAAAGAAGATACTGTCATCAGCGAATTGAAGAAGAGAGAGCTGAGTTCCTCTTTCACCGACTTTAAATCCATGAAGAATTCCACTTTTTGTTGCTCTACAAGTGAGCGTACTTAAGGCTTCCATAATTATATTGAAAAGAAAGGGAGAAAAAGGGTCTCCTTGCCTTATACCCCTTGGGCTTTTGAACCTACCGCAGGAAACACCGTTGAGAAGAACCGAGAAAGTGGGAGTGGTTACACAGACCTTTATCCAGTTTTGCCACTTAGAACTGAAATTCATTCTTGCAAGCATATATTCCAGGAAATTCCAACTGACATGGTCAAAAGCCTTTTCAATATCCACCTTGAGAATCAGCCCCTCTCTACCCTCCCTTCTACGCGAGTCAATCAACTCATTAGCGATAAGCACCCCATCAAGAATATGTCTCCCTTCTACAAAAGCACCTTGGGAGGGTGAGATGATCTTACCCATCACTCTCTTCAGCCTTGAAGCTAAGACTTTTGCTAGTACTTTATAAACACTTCCTAAGAGGCTGATGGGCCTATGATCTTTTAATTCCAAGGCCCCTTCCTTCTTAGGAACCAAGGTGATAAAAGTTGAGTTGAGACATCTTTCCAGAGAAGTATTTGCATGAAATTCTGCAAAGACCTTCAGCAGATCTTGCTTAATGAACTGCCAACCCAGCTTATAGAACTTCAAAGTAAAACCATCCGGGCCTGGGGCTTTGTCCCCTTCTAGCTGAAAGATAGCCTCCCTGATTTCTTCCTCTGTAAATGGTTTTTTTAAATCAGCAGCCTCTTCTTCTGATATTCTGTTAATATCCAATCCATCCAGGTTCCAGCCTAGGCCTCTTTTGCCATCTTTCTTTATACAGATCTGAATAGAAACCCACAATGGCATTTTTAATTCTGCTATCCTCTTCCAACACCTCCCTGTTTACTTTTAGAGATTTAATGCTGTTTATGCGCCTTCTAGCATTAGCCATTTTGTGAAAGAAATTAGTATTGTTGTCACCTTCTTTCGACCAAAGATTCCTAGACCRATGTGATGTGGACGCGTATTGGGAGCAGCAGCAGCAATGATCCAGTGTTCTCATCCTTTCTAATTCGGCAGCAACAGTCTTATCCATTCAGCAGATTAGATTAGGCTATCTTGTTATTCTTATCTTATTAAGTTAGTAGATTA